TTCTAGAGCTTTGAGAGCGAATTGGTGGCATAGTAGGTGGTTAAAGAAGAAGGGTTAAAATAATTGACGCGTTTTGGGTGGGGTGCGTCACTCGGTGGTGTGCGTCACTCGGTAGTGAAATACGTTATTATGGGTGTAGATTATCAATTCCCAAATTTGTCGAAGTTCCCGAATTAATGAGGCGACGCTGCATTTGGAGCTTCAAGCACTAAGAAGTGCGTTATCCTGGCGTGGTAGTCGAACTCGGATGTCGATATATTCCTGTCGGAGTTGTGTTCGCATTCTTGCCTACTGTGTGTTGCATATATCGCTGGTATGAGATGTTGCCGTCCGGGTGTAAGCCGGGGAGTAGACGACCCGAGACCATGACTCACACAGAATATAACTGCTTACTTCGACGTGCGATTACGCCAATAGTCAGGTAAATGATATGACTACATATATGTAATAGTTCTCCGTGGTGGAGTTATTGTAGATTTTCAAATCATCAACGGGAGTGGAGCAACTGTAGAAATATATAATTGTCGTTTCGACATACAACCGAAACTCGGTTTTAAGCACATCGCATATTCTATTAAAATGAGCTTCTACCCCAACCAAGGTACATCCGTGATCGTTCCGGCCGATTTGGAACCTATCCACACAAGTCGCCTATACCTACGACCGCTGACGGTGGCTGACGCCGCGGCCATCTTTGAGATCCGCCGACGACAAGACGTGGCTGACTGGCTGTAAGATTATACACCAGGAGCAACTACCACAATACCCAGGAATAGACACTAACTTATGACCATCTGTAGCTGGCCCAAAGTCCCCCACGAAGACATATCAGAGTCTGAGGCCATCATCGCCCAAAAGACATTCACAACACCGGATGCGTCAGGTGCTGTTGGGCGGAAGTTCTTCTTCGCCATCATCCGCTCCGAGGATTCATCGCAAAGGGTTGTTGGAGGAGCGGGAATCAATGCTCTTAGCCCAGCCCCATCAGTGGGTTATAACATACACCCTGACTTCTGGGGCAAGGGCTATGCCACCGAGGCAGTTGCTGGTATTATAGATGCGTGGTGGAAGCTTGACAGAACGGGTTTTGAGGAGGCTGTGCCGGGTTTAAAAAAGGAGAAGCTATTTGCGGCGTGCAATAGAGCCAATATTGGTAGCGTGAAGGTACTGCAGAGGACCGGGTTTAGGATGTACCAAGAGCAGTCGATGGAGGGCGACGTGGTTGCACTTTTTGAGCTGGAAAAGCCCAACAGATAGCATGGCAGACGAAGCATCGACTAGTTCGGTGGTATCCTAACGCTCGGGAGTCTGGAGATAGAAATTACCCGCTTAACCCCTATCTATCTTGCTGTGTCTACATCTCTGTCACTGTGAATGGCATCATGGTCGGGGAATTTGAGCCATTCCGGGGAATGAAATGCTTAGTGTTCCATTGAAAAATCCCATATATGACCTCGCAACAATTTGACACGAAAAGGTAGCTCTGGAGACCTGGA